GCGCTGCGGGCTCGCAGCTGCCCCCGTTTTGGCAGGGGTTGGAGGCGCAGGCACCTGGCGGGACGCACTGGTAGGCATACCACTGGTTGATGCACATCAGGTCGCCCCAGCAGGGACCGCTGGCGCAGACGTCGGGGCCACGGCAGCCGATCTTCACCGAGGCGTCTGTTTTGGAGAGGGTGGCGAGGCTGTGCTTGCCAGCGAAGGGAAGGCTCTCCCCGCCGTACTTGATGTAGGAAATGCAGCCGTTGAAGCCTAGGAGGAAAAGCAAGAGTGACGTCAGGACCTGAAGAGTGATTATGTCAACAGAGGCCAAAGACGTGCTGAGCATTGGTGTCACGCTAAAGAGGAACCCTTTTGATCAGCAGGTGGCAAGATCCGCAGCGTGCCTCTCGCCCCCTGAAACGAAAGGGGAAACACAAACACAGAAGCAACAAAATGGAAAACCCAATGCTGCAACGGAGGCGACAGCCTTATCTCGTGATGTGGTCTCAAGCAGAGCGGGGTAAATCACGCTGTCAGCTGTGCACGTGAAGCCTCCACATTTTCACGGGTGAATCTTACACGTACTGAGCTTACGACTGCTTCCACACAACGGTGTAAGATTTAAGTAACTGCTTATTTTGCTAGAAGGATGGCCCATTCACAGATGTTTCACTAGCTGACAACCTGTGCTGAATCATTTAGGGTCAGGGGTAAGGAACATTTTGTTGCTTCTGTTAAATATTTCCTCTTACGTTGTAATGACTATTTTGTTCATAACCTTTTGATAATTTTTTTTGGTTCATATTAGATAGAAATTGAAATCTACTTTTAAGCAGAACGAGATTAAGTAAAGGCTGTCATGCCCGGAGCTTCTCACATAACTTCTATACATGCACCTTTTAAAACTAAAGATTTTCACCTTTAAGCTGTGCATAGAAATGGAGATTAGAGATAAGAAAGTAATTAAGTAATTTCTGAAGATATATGCATGGTGCTTATATAAATGATACCAAGGTATCTTGGTTCAAGTCTGCCAAATAAGAATTCAGAAACAGACCATGGGTTTTAATTTCAACACTAAGATTTCAAAGCAATAAAAATATTCTTAGGTGAGTAAATAAAATGTACCAAACCCTGCAATTAAGATGCTGAAATGAGCGTATATTTTCTAGAAGGCCTGTAAGATATTTTGTACTACCATTGCTTTCATTAAACCTGAAAAAAAACCCCAGGCAATTGAAAGCAGAAAGCTCAATATAATTTGAAATGTTGATCTGGCTTTTAAGAATTCTATAGGCTGCACAGGAGAAGGAACTACTGTCTGATTAGGAAGTATCTACCTCATGTTTGCAGACTGGGAATAAATCTCAAATCGAGGAAAACCCCATAATATAAAATGAAAAGAAAAAATGCATTTTGGGTAAAACCAGGTTGCTCACACATAGCCTCAACTCTGCTGCTCAGTGAGCAGATCAGATCTGAGGTTGGCAATGCAAACGAATACTTTTTGTGATTGCAGCATGCTTATCTTACAGATAGACTCATCCAAGGAAGTCTGAAGGTTATATTCTCAGATCTTTATTATAATGTAATTTCCTCTCAAAGCAAAATTATTTTGCCCAAACACTAAGCAATGAGCAAATGGTTGGATTTTGCAGAAACATTATATTTTCTAAAAATGTATTGTTAAACTGACTCAATTTTCAATTTATAGACCCATTTCACTGGAGCGAAATGAAAGGCTCTGTTGTTCAGTAAATAAGCCAGGAATTCAAATGGTTACCATAAGGAAACATCTATTCTCATGGATTTGAACAACTATTCCTTCTAGCGAGTTCATTCAATATACTACAACGTTTTTGTTTCCTAACTTTCCCATATTTCTAAAACACCTTATCATCCACACAGAGAAACCTGCGTGCAGAACATTAGCTTCCATTCCCCGCCGCTTGCGTGCTCTCCACTTTCCCATATTCCGAGCTGAAGTTGCTCATCGTGCTTCAGCGACGCCTCCTGCCTTACTGTCTCCTAAAATCACGGCAATACTTTTACGGCTCCGAATCTTGAGCGGCCTTTTCCCAAACTTCCCATAGCTCGGTCGTAGTGCTACCCAGGGAGATGGGATTATCCCCGGCCTTTGTACGGTGGTTGCGTGGAAAGTCGCAGGAAAATCCGGCCTTTTGTCAGCCTAATAATTCTCCATGTTCCCCAGACTTAATCCTTTCTGCAAGGGTTTTAGAATAGCGCAACCTTACGCTGACCTCTACTCAGAGCTGCGACAAAACGCGTTTGTAAGTCGCAGAGATGCGTAAGTCGTGCTCTCACTGTCCACACGTGTGGTTGCTGCAAAAACCACGTTTATTTCTCCTTAACTTATGATGGACTGTCCTTGGGATGCCGTGCGCTGTGCTGGGTTTACCGAGGATATTATTCAAGAGCAAATTTATCAGCTATTATCAATAAAAATAATCAACAAGGAGACAGAAAGTGCCACTGCTCAGTTCTGAGGCATTACACTCGGGTGAAATAATAAACAGGAGCATATTTTCCATGCATTAGTAGTGTCGGGGAAAGGCTCATTTCTGCAAACATATTGCTGAAATGGAAGAACAGCCACTATGAATAGTAACTGTGAATAATTGTGGAAATCTCTGTAAAAATGGGTAGCGCACCGATAAATGTTACGAATATTTACTCTGTCATGAAATAGCAAATATACTCAAGTTGTATGAGGTGATATTACAGATTTATAATCTTCAAAGTATGTTGTTTTAAAATTTGACCACCCTCTGATGTCAGAAATGAAATATGAGTGGGTATCAACATCAAATACGTTTCAGAGAGAGATGCAATTCACGCGGTGTAAGGGGACATGAAAGAGCCTTCTATGTTTTGCAAGCATGCTATTTCTGTATTATTTCCATTCTCAGAGAGAAATGTATTTTCTTTCAGCTTTACTTATATTTTCATTTTCTCCTGCTTTTACTTTCCCAAATAAAGAGGAAATTGAGGATTTAGGTTCAGGTGGGAGCCCAAGCAGAATGCACGATTACCTTGCCACATGCTTGGTGGTCCCTTGCAGCAGTGATGGGATAAACAGCAACTGGGATTTTGTCAGGTCTGCCCGGGTTTGGGAATGTTATTAGATATACCAGTTTCACAGCCTTGGAATTGTCACCCGCGTATGTTTTTGTCTGCCTTTAACAGTACAGCAGATATTTTTGACTGTCTGAGTTCATGCAGAGTTTTATACCTCCCCCTTGTAAATCCTTGGTATGTCGTACACAATGTAATCCAATATTAAAATAAAATAAAATCATATGAATAAGAGATTTTGGATTGTATATTCCTAATGGAAGCCAGACATTCCTAATTTGTCTGCTACAGCATCAGGCAGTGGTGAGATTTTAGCGTCCTCAATTTTCTTTGTTCCAGCTTTCCTAAAAGCCTCTGACTTTTCCATGCATACACAGCTCATAAAACATACATGTAAAAATGGTAAAGGTAAGCATAGCATTCATATGATCTCATGCAAATTCACAATACACACGTGTGAAGTGTGAATTTGCTCCACTCAGAGATCCTCTGTCTGGTCACAATTCTCAAAGTCAGGAAGACTTTTCAATATAAAACCTCTGTGAAACCTACGCCTGCATGGTCTGGAGTATCTCACAGTTTGTAGCTAAAAATCACTTCCATCTCTACTTATCACTGGGAGAATGATAGCAAATATATGTTATCTACTTCTTTGGCCAGGGTCTAAGACAGTTGCTTTAACTCTTAAGGGAGATTGATTTACTTCTTAACGGCTAGATTTCGGTCAGAGGGTGGTTCCTTATTGTCCATGGTTTCTGTTGCTCAGAAATAAATCCTATTCTCCATTTGACAGCAGGATAAAGCAGGAGGAAGTTGGAGTTTCAGAAAATATTTTAATCATATTAAAAACAGGCTAAATCCTGCAGTTCTTGCCAAACCCCTACAGAGACACAGTTCTCATTTAGCATTTTTGCCCAAGTAAAAGATTTGCCTTGATTTTCCAGATTCTGACCCAGGTGAAGAATAGATCCTTTCTTCTCCATTAGCATAACAACAATTATAATACCTGATTTACAGACAAGCAAGCAAACTCACCCCCTGCCTCCAACACGCCCTGCGGATGGAGCGCCTGCTTTTGCAAACAACAAGGTTGCAACGTGTACTGAAGGAACAAAGTCTGCAATTCTTACTGATTCAAATTGCAGTTTTTCTGGCAAAGGATGGAGGTATACCCATTACTGATAAAGAATTACTGTACTTTCTGCATCCTTTAAGCAAACAGAGAGCCCTGGTTTGTTCAAATGTGCTTATGTGCACTATATTAAAAAAAATATAATAAAAATTACCTGCAACTGTGCTCTTGAAATGTTGGCTTGATGGGATTCCTCCCAAAGAAATTGTAAGAACATTTAGTCCGCCGAAGTCTTGCGTGGCATGGAGAATGTCTCGGCTATGAGTCTTGTCAACCGACAGGATAGTAGCAGACCCGTTCTTCTCGATGAGCACTGAATGCCATTGACCATCTGCAGCGTACACTTCTGGGATATTTCTTTCCACTTTCCCAGCAATTCCAGCATCGGATACGTAATGTACTTTCCCACCTTTTATCTGATCAGAAAACAGTAAAATGCATAATTTTAAAATGATACACGCATAACCAATGTAATGCCTATTCAGTACAGCTACAGTAACACATGGCTTCAGTTGTAATAGGAAGCCTGGCTGTATTTTGCCCCCAACAATTGTTTTGTACTAAAAATGCATGCATTAATTAGTACTAAAAATTTGGCTGCTATTAAATACATCATTACATCTGTAGCAAACTTAGAGCTGCCATCCACTCATTCCCCAGCTAATCTCACAAGGGAAAATCCTACTGAGAGGCCAGCAATAGGGCATGCACATGACAAAACATTTTGACCAATAAAAGAATAATAATTCCTCTTCCTTCAATGCAAGTGTGGAAAATGCTTTGCAGAGTAAACAGATGTTGTCCTTGCCCAAAAAACTTGCATCTAGTTTTCATTATGACCCAGTAGGAATATATATGGCATGGCAGGACTTGAACAAGAGTCCCATTTCCTATCTCGTTTTGCTGTTAATTTGCGTTTTGCAGAAAAATAGTTGTGTTTTAGAAACCTTTCTGAAGACTTGCAAGGTGCATGATTTTGTGTGAATTTTCTGCTTACTTGAGCAAACTGCTTTTAAACTTGTGAGCTGTTAGAAAAAAAAAAAGGTACTATTAAATTCCATGAAAAATTTTTTGGTTTTTCCTCTAGGTATGCCGCCTCGCAATTCTACTGAATCATGAGATGCAGGATTTCAACATCTTACGAGCTCAATATTAAATGATCCCAAAATGAGATCTGTGCAAATTCTGACTTTAAGATATAGGAACTAAAAAAACCCCCTACACCAGCCAAACCTGCCAGCTTCTTAAATATTGCGTAGGAGTTGGGTACATCAGCTGACCTCCTCAGGGTATATAAACTTATGCACAGGTCATATAGGGCGGCTCTGCCACGTGTTGCAGGTTTCCTTCCATGCTCTCCACGCTTGGTCATGCACGTTAAATAAGACAACTATTTTTCCCTCCCGTGTTCCTCGCTGCAGCTCGGTTGGTCCGTGATCTGCAACACGAGCGTGCAGAACACGTACACGCGTGGTCCAGGAAAGGTCAAAGCCCCAGGTTTGTTGAAAGCTCTCTAAGCCTTGCATGCTTTGTTCCAGGAAAAATAACGTTCACCTGGGAAGAACTGTGAGGTGACACACCGGCTACAAGAATGCTGCTCTCGTTTCCAGAAACTGTTAAATGCTCTGGATTTACTTCTTTAGTGATGCAAGCTGAGCACTTTGTTCATACAGATCAGCTCTAATACGGCTGTAAGACCACGCTCATGCCTTGGCCGCAGCCTGAACTGAATGTATCTAGCACATATTCCATTTGGATCAAGAAATACAATGGTTAATATGTGCACGCACTTCATTTATAAATGCAATAATTTGGACTATTTGAAAATGTATTGTTTGAGGGACTCTGATAAAGCTGCCCCTCAGAGGTGGGATGCTTTTGATACTGGGAAACACAGGTGACAGACATCTCAACTATCACACAGCCCAAAGAAAATGCCACATTTGGAAATGCAGTCACACAGACTATTATAATATATTAAACACCATTTGCCACAATCAAAAGTATTCCTAAAATGATTAACTGGGCTGAATATATACATATATTTATGTCTGTAACCTGTAATTGGTTTGTTAGCCTTATTTTGTCTTTTATGCTCTGTGAAAATACTGCCTTGTATTTTGGTCTTTATGTAAATGAAAATTAATATACCATATCAGACAATATCCTCTAAGCTCATGGGAAGACTAAGCACAGCATCGTAAATTTAATTCCACATCAGAGAAGAACTATAGAATTATTTACCTGTCAGCAACTGATATTTTCCATACTCATTTATGACTCTCTAGCTCTATTTCTGTTTCTTTAAAATTGCATGTGACCAATGCTAACAGACTCATAAATACTATAATAGTGGCATTTGGAAAAATAAAATTTCCAGAGACAAGACCGGTCCATGACTTCTTCAACCAGGAAAAAATAAGAAATGTTCTTCTCGGTTCCTTGAAGCACAACATATTTCTAAATTCGAAACAAATGCTGGTGCTGACAATATTGAGTAACACCCATTTCTGGGGTTTATTTAAATGGCAGAGCAACTGACAAGTAGGACATAATGAAAAGAATGAACCACTAAAGCAAACATACTCCTAACTACAAGGATGATTCAACTTTACTAACATTCTGAGTCTCCTTTACTGAACAACTTCCTTCTTATTTGTCTTAAATCTGAGCACTAGCCTTTACAGATTTATAGCCCATTGGATGAGGTATCATTTAAATGAGTTATGTTCTGATTTATTCCTGCAACTCGACATGTGCGTAGAATCACAGAATTGTTTGGGTTGGGAGGGACCTCAAAGCCCATCTAGTTCCAACCCCCTGCCATGGGCAGGGACACCCTCCACTAGCCCAGGTTGCCCAAAGCCCCATCCAGCCTGGCCTTGGACACTGCCAGGGATGGGGCATCCACAGCTTCTCTGGGCAACCTCTTCCAGTGCCTCACCGCCCTAACATATGCATATGTTAGCTCATATAGGTAATGTGTAATTCCCATTCTCTACCCGTATAATACATAGATCTTAGAGCTACAGTTATGCTAATTTCAGATGAGACTTTCAGCTAAAACAAGGCAAGCAATTTCACCTTTAACCTGCTGTATTTATCCCATTACTTCTAACTGAATTAGTTGCAATGTGAATTATTTGTAGGAAAATAAGCTGTGACAAAGAGCTTCAGTAATAAGGAATCTCCTACCCTCTTCCTTTTTGTTGCTTTTTTGGGGGCGCATTTTCCATCTGAATTTGACCATTGTTTAATTTAATCTGCTAGGTTTTGTATCTTTCTGGGATTAAAGATCCCTTTATACCATAAAGATCTCTGTTGGGTTCTTTGGGGGTAGTTTACATCCATCATTTAGTGAATCAGCCGCTCGCAATCTCAGTTGGTCTGATTTATTACCATTTGTCTAATTTTACCCCAATCCCAGCTACACCAAAATCAGTTAACTACAAGAGGAAAAATGTGGAGGCACGGAAGTAGCCACAGGACTTGTAGCTTTTCCCTAGCAAAGTTTAATATTAAAAAAATATATGGCATGTATTCTCTGAATGCTTACACTTTGGATAACAAGCATATTAAAAGTTATAAAATTGTCTGTTTAGAAGACTGAAGAGAGAGTTGGGAAGTCACTAAAGCTCATCATCTGCACCCAGAACAGACTGAGATGCCAGGGAGATCTTCGCGTGAGTTGGCTTCACTGTCATCTTGGGCCACCGCTGAGGGAAGTGTCCATTGTGATACCTACTCCAGGTATGAGCAGTGGTGCAGAAGCCATACTACAGTTAAATTATTACAGTTTTATTAACTAGCATAATCCGGGAACTTTTTGGCGATAATCGGTACGGTGATGGTACCTCTCCTTCCTCAAACCCCTGCATCTGTTTCTAGGCAAACCTCTGCTCTTTGCCCTTGCACAGCTGGCTCTGGGACTTGACACCCTCTGCTTGCTTGTATAACTTCACCAATATTAACAATAATAAGAGTGTTTGCATAAACACACCACTAGTGCTTTCAGCCAAGAAAGGCAACTCTCTTTTTCTTTTTTCTAATAATGCTTGTAGAGCTGACCTAGCAAATTCTAAGGAGAAGGTGGTATTATTTGGTTTTGTTTTGGTTTTTTCTCTCTCCAGAACTCAAAATAATGAGAACTTATCTGCTAATATGAGTGAGGCAGAAACTTCCTATCAAATGATGTGCTAAAAGCACATGCAAGGGAAGTAATGCAGACTTGCTGCTTAAACACAGCCGGTGTGTCAGGAAAGCTCTATACCTCTGACCAGGCAGGTGGAGAATATCCATGGGGCTCAAGCTTAGAAAGTGTGAATTTCTGTATGAGTTTCTTTAAAAGTCAGGGAAAAAAACCCCAAAACTTGGAAAGCCTTAGAGCAGTCAAGGAAACTTGGAGCTTACACCAACCCAATAAATGGGCTTGCCAACATCACTGCTGTACTCATTTAGAGTTATGAGTAAATGGACTGAGTCATAGCCAGGAACTGAACCATTGCTTTCTCTTGAGAAAGGTAACTTCTGCTGCAATAAACTTGTTGGGGAAAAAAAAACCCAACCAACAAACTGAAACCCAAAACTGTGTGGCATTTGAAGCATTAATTCAGCTACCTATCTCAAAATAATTTGATATTGACACTGGTCTATGAGTAACCTCGTGAATTCAAATTATCCCTCACTTCCTAGTTTGATAAGCATGAGCCACGCTAGTAGGAATTAATGAAAACTTTTTGGCAATTGTTTGCTGGGCTTAAGGAGGGTCTGGGTTCGAGGCCTGAAAAATCAGAAGATAAAAGGCCAATAACGAAATGATTTGTTCTGTAGAGTGTAACTTACTGATGATAACAAATATGGCAATGAGTACTGTTCCTGTGGCCTTAAAACAGTCACTATTTGGAGTCTAGACAAAACTGATTAGATACAAAACCATCAAGATCTTCTGATACCTTGGCAAATAGCAAGGGAATTGTTGAGAAGATGAATGATACTGGAGCAGTGCCTAGCCTCAGTTAAAGACCTAATATTTTATAAAGGAAACAGCAAGAGTAATGGAAAAATGTGATTTTGATCACTATGCATGAGGCAGTCCAATCAAATCAAACTCGGCATTAGCTGTAATCTTACCTTCACAGTAGTGAAGTTGCTGCTTTCCTGGACGTGAACTAAAATGCCGTTCTCACTTCTTGTCCTGAACTTCACTTCCAAGCGGTCCGCATTCGGGGGTCCTGGGCCGGCGCCTCGAGAGCCGAGTCTCATCATGTATTCTCGCTTCTTGTTCGGGCTCATGTGGTAGTCTAGTCGTCCTTTGCCTTCGAGCGATAAGGCAGTGTCGGCAGTAATATCTGGGACAAGGACGGGGAAGTACTGAGTAGGCAGCGCGTTACAGCCACAGTGATCATCTGCCTAATAACGACCGTTTTCTTTCAGAGCAGAGATCAAGTTCAGAGCAGGTCAGGGAGGAGAGCAGGAATGAATGGCAATTTCAGCCCCTCTATTCTTTGGCTTCAACCAGAATGTGTGTTTGAGAGTGGGAGTGTGCTAGTAATTTACTGCTGCTATCAGTCAATAGTAAATTAAAACTCACTAAGGAACAAGTGAGGGAGTAGGGGAAAAAATTTGGCACTCAGAACTGTAATTCCTTCCCAAGGATGTTACTGTTTCCATTACTGCAAGCAGGGTTTCATGATATATTGAACTCTAAGCTCTTCAGGGCAGAGATAATGACTTTCTATTTGTTATGGCATAAAAAAAAAAAAAGAATAAAAAATAGAGAGCATTGACTACCAAATGCTGTTAAAATTATGGCTAAATTCTTTTGTAAACTGGTGCAATAAAAGCGTATAAATCAGCTAAACAATAATGGGACATGTAAGAAAACAAAGCCCAGTCATTATACTACAACTACACGGAAATAAATCACTTTGCTCTCCTAGACAAAGTGATTACTCTCCCATATTGATTTACAGAGCCATCCACATGCGAGTTAATAACCCCAGAGTGTAAATGGCTTGCTTTCATTTACATTTACCATATTTTCTTGCATATAATCTGATGGTCATTTGATAAAAAGGCCAGAAGCCAGAAGCACATGCACACAATGTTTGTGTGAAGGGAAGGGCTTTTTCTTACCCTCTTACCTCCCCATAGCAGACAAATCCCTCGTACGGGATAACTTTATTTTAATTACTGATTATACATTACTGGGAAGCAGTAGTTTTAAATGAGCGCAAGTTACCTGAAAAGTGATATACAGACCAGAAAACATAATATATTTAACTTGTTGCTATTTTTAGGTCATGAAAGGACAATAGCCCATTATGGACTTTTCATTCAAAGTTATTTAAGAGGCAGGTATGCTGATTGTATTCATTATTTTATAAAATTCATTATCCCATGCCCCTGAAAAGAAACTCTTAATGGCATTAGGTTAAACCACAGCTGGGTGTACATTAAAGAGGAAGACAGCCAAACCCCCTCCATACATTTTTCACAGTGCTTTCCCGTCAGTCCATCTTTGCAGTGACATTGCTGCCATGACCAGTGATCAACACAGGTGCCACCATGTTGGCAGGGGCTGGTTGTGCAAGCACCTTCTAGTCTGGGACACCTGAAATAAAACAGAAAAGTAGATGCTGAAGAATGTGCACACAAATAAGCAGAGAAAATGTGCTGGGAAGTGTCCTGTGTTTGAACGATACTCCCTTTCTTCCCCCCCCCAGAGATGAAGAAATGGAGAGGCTCTTCTCCATAGACAGCTCATGTTTCTAAACAGATCCCAATTTTCAGTGTCAAATTGTAACAGTCTTACCAAAGAGAAAAGAATTCAGAGACAGTGAAACTCCTATTATCTGCTACGCAAGAGAAGAAGAAACTCTTTTAGGTGCTTTTCACACTGCAGACTTCCAGAGACTTCACATCACAACAAAGAGCACAAACTTGGGGGTTGAAAGAGGAAGGGTGAGCTAGCAAATTTGGACAAAAGATCAGCATTATTGCTACAACTGTGACTTCAAATACTGAGATGGAAAAAACCCGATAGAATCAGATAGTTCATCATTTCTGCTCAGAGGATATGAGGGAAATTCAGTGATACTTGAGAGGCAAAGTGATCGAACAGACATTGTGGATTAAAAAGAAATAAGAGGGAGTAGAGGGTTAGCAAACAGTATGAGCACAGTCAAACCCACGTGGAATTTATAAAGAAACCCAATATCAGGGCTACTCTATTTCAGCCTGCAAAGCAACATTAATAATAATTGGCAATAGAAAGGTAATGATGTTGCTTTTTTGAAGCCTCTGTAATCTTTTGTGAACCTTTCATCCAAAATCACACTCTTCCTACATTTTTCACACTTCACAATGAATTCTACAGTCATTTTTTTACAAGAAATATCTGACAGTGTCTGAATGGAATAGCGTCTGACTTTCACGATGGCGTCCTTTATTGTAAACGCGGTCCATTCGATACCACATATAGCAGACGTACTGATCTAAGATTCCTTGAGCTGCCAAAGCCTGGCTGGGCTCCAGGGGACGTCCGTTGACTGCAAACTCCATTATACAGCCCACAAAATCATGGCTTTCCACCTGTCCTCTCCTTTGAAGGATGGGCTCTACAGACCTGATGCCACCAACAGTAACTCGATTTGGTTGTACATCGAGAGTCCTATAAAAGAGTCAGAAAAATAATTTATCAGTATCAGACATTAAGGTAGCAATGACAGCAAAGGAACTGTAACCATCATCTATGGTCTGTGGCTAAAATTCCTCTTCCAAAATCTGTATTTCACATTTAGAAGGGGAGACAGAAGGCCAGTAGCACTTAAACTAACAGTTATAATGGGTATGACTCTAAATTCATACTCAGTTATTGCACGTCAAAATTTCTATTCACTTGACTGAGCAGCATGCTTGAAATCATAATGAATAAGGCTTTTCACTCAATTATCGTTTCAATTGTAGATGATATTTAAATAGCTGGAAGATGGATTCATTATTTTACAAAGATATAACACCTTCGCTAGTGGGGAAACCACGTGTGACAGGAAATATGATTGTGACTATTGTAAGAAATTAGTCAAAGTGATTTGGATTAAAGTTATTATCTCCAAAGAGGATCTAAAGATGCGGCAGAAAGGCTTCGGAGTTAGTTATGGTAAACACAAGAAATAAAGTTTATTCTCTTTACTGGCCGATGTTTAAGAAATGAAAACTGCAAAAGATGACATCTGGAAATTACTGAAAACGATGTCAAAGTAATTACTCCTAATATTTTTTTAAAAGAAAGCAGTAATCGGGTGATGTTATTTCTTACACCTTTATAAGAAATGAGAAGTGCAGTTTAAATAAACAAACAAACAAATGAATAAAGACAAGACCCTAAGCAAGCCCAAAACTGAACACTGGAGTGAAATACAGGTGCTACTAGAGTAATAGCTTTTTGAGCCTGGTTTTGGCAAGATAGATATGATTCAACATGTGAAAGTGGAGAAGGCTTTACTAAAGATTTGTAGCACTAAATATTGCAGAACTTCAAACTGTCAAAGAGTAGTGCTGTATATTTAAGAGCCAGTTGATTATAACAAATACATTTGTGTTTTACTATCTAAGATTTACAAGTTGTCAGTAATCATGAGCTTCTGATATTCTGACTTGTTAGCTCTTTCTAGATTATGATGTGAAATCTCATAGCATTAGGCAAGAAGTCTTATCCCCGTTTACACCACAGTGCAGACTACCCATGGCCATACATTTCTTGGGTACCACCAGAGCCTGGGAACAGAGACGGAGCTGAGAATTGGGGATTTCTGAATAAACTCCTTGTCACAAATAAACTCCAAGCAGAAATGTAGTGACCTGAGTTACCAAGTAGCAGTGCATACATGTAGGAAGTTTAATTTGCTGCTGCAAAGATGAGAGACAATGACACTTGGGAGCCTTGCCTTTGCACGCCTCTGAAGGAGCGCAGCTGAGGTATATATCCCTTCCTTGAGGCTGGGCATGTAATCATTGCTCCAAATCTCCTGGGCTTTAGAGGGTGATGCCTTTTTCATTTTACTTTTCATTTTACTCCAAAAAAACCCCACAAAATGAAGATTTACCAGTCAGTAGAAACAGCAACATTGCTAACAGTGCAGTAGCCTGGCTCCTGATCCTCAGAGCAGGAATCCACCGTCAGCGATGCTGCCTGCAAAAGCCACACACACAAATATGCTGAATATTATAAGGTTGTAGTCCCCAACCACGTTAAATATTTACGATTAAATATATTATATCAAAGACTTGGCTAGAATGGAGCACTTGTATATTACTATGTCACTCAGGATCGCAGGGTGCCTCAGAGCCACCGAGCAGCTACATTCTGCATCAGCACAGGGAATACCAAGGTGTGGATACTAACAGACAGGAAGCTAATTGACTGCTTCATACAGAGAATCAGCTAAACACAAAGTTTTCAGGTTTGGGTAGGGTTTCTTTCATGTTTGTTTGCTTTATTCCTCGAAACTGCAGTTATTTTGGCTCATACCGTATCCTTGATCTGAACAGAGCACTGCTCCCTCCAACCAAACACAAAGGGCATTCCTTCAGGGGCTTGACCGTGACATTAAACATACTGCTTGAACTCGATAAAAAGCACGTTACAAAAGCTGGGAGTACAAACACTGAGATTACTAGTTAAAAATAATAACCAACCACTCAATAACACCAGTGGACTTGATTAAGGTAACCCTTAGGCTGATACGTCATGAGGGATGTTTGCCCCATGTTGATAATGGTGTAACGTGGATACCTACAGTGGGACCAAGCTGATGGTCAGAGAAGTACCAGGCATGACCAGCACTTAGAGCAGTCTTCCTCTTTATTATTATCTCCAAGCCATCGAGTCCCAGACAATGGAGTTGCCTCATTGCCCATCTCGGCCATTTACACTAACGCAAATCGTGGCACTTTTATTCGTGATCTCTAAAAGTCTAACCAAAGCTTTCACTAAAATCATGAAATAATTCCAGCTGATTTGAAAAGGAATTTTTATTTTATTCCTTATTTAGCAAAGAATTTTCCCCACAGCGATTTATTAATAACAGATGCGCTGTGAAAAAAACAAAAACCCTGAAGGATAGTTATTCCTTAAAACAAATTTTCAGAAAAATAAACATAATCTCCAAATTGTACATATCAGCTTCTCATGTTTCAACTAGATGTGTGGTACAGTTTTACGGCAAATTTAAATCAAAGGTCACTTTTAAAAATGCCTTGGTTTATATTTTGATTTAGATTACCCTACAGGAGCTGAGCAGACAGCAATGGCTATCAGTACGTCATTACTCTGCAATGGCTTTGTTTGCTTCCTGCAGCAAAGTTCACTAACAACGTCCTGTTGAAATCCCCATTGATGTATTTCCAAATACATACTGTGAGCTGATGCATTGGATTGACCAAACAGATTCACAGCTCTTAGCCCTATATCATGCCCTACAGCACACCTAAATTGTTCAATTTGCTATTTTTTAATGAAAGCTTATCTTAAATTCCTTTCCATACATAATGAGCAAACTCCTACTCCCGAGAAACATCAGCCTGCAGTTCCAAAGCAGATTATAGCCCTGTATAAATGAAACAATTCACAGAAAGAATAATAAGCCGGCCGGTCTGTATGCCATCACACGCATACATATTTTTCCTTCAGAATATCAACAACAAAAAAATGAAATGAGTTTTTTGTTCTTAGCTCAATCAGCGTAATCTCCCTAACTTACATTGCTATGCGCTGTGAAAGCCAAGCTACAACCCCAGCTGAAGGGCTAGATATTTGAGAATATATTTTACTTGGACCAGAGTTCATACAATTTATTTTCTAATGTTAGTCAAATGTTCCTGCTTGTTACTTAAGCATTACTCTACGGTTACCTTGCCGCATTATGAGACTTTCTATCCTGTCACTCTGCAATAGCTCAGGACTGACAACTTAATGATTTTACCAGTTTCCGATAAAATCCCACTGTGCTGTAGGAAATGACAGATTTGGAATCCTGAAGGGGGGCTATTTTATACAGTTTTGGACACCTGGGAGACATTTTTCCTGCAGCAGAAATATCTAAGACAAAGGCGATTCTTTTCACATAACTGTGTTTGTAAACATCTGATGTTACTGAGATGGTTTAAACATATACATAAAAAAAATAATCACACAAAGGTATAGGTTGTCTTAGTTTGCTTTCAGCCTGAAGCTTTCATAACTGAAATTTTCTGTCAATAGTCCTTTCTATGTTATCTCTTCTATAGTCTAGCCTTCTGGCATATCTACAAGTAAAACACCTTCCTGCTCTATTTTTTTTCTGAAGTGTATTTCATTTATTTGTTGCAATTTTTAATATGTACTCTTACACTTAGCCATTTAAATCTTATTGATAGACATATCACACTAATTTAGTTGCTAAAATGGGAACCTGGTGCCTTTAAGGATTTAGGTGCAACTTTGGGCTTTACCATTTGGAAGCTGTGATGCAAATTATTAAGTATATGATATTAAGGTATGTTAAAACAAAATCATTACTCAACATCACAATTATCCTTCACCTGATTTGGATATATAACTCCTGCAAACACACACAAATTGGATTTGCAAATCCAGCTGAACACTAAGCCATCCCCCGCTTCAATAAACGGAGAAATCGGGTCTTGCACTGTGCAACTGAAACGCAGTTTCAGGCTCATTCTCGCTAAGAGAGGAGAAAAAAAGCACCGTTTAGGAAGGTCAGGAGACAACCCTGGACCTACAAAGAACCCTGGACCAGAAGTTCATACATCCCTCTGCTGCTCTTGGGACATTTGTGCCTATGGCCATCTCACCCTGGACCTGAAGCTCTTCAGCAGGGTGCTCTGAACAAGAGGAGCTTAAACCTAGAAAAGGGCTGTATCTCAGCAGCACTGCCTTCTGCAGCGCTTCGTGATGGGAAACCTCTCCAAGGACTCAGGGGGAGCCGCGCTGGGTAAAACAGTTTATTCTTTTATTCCCTACATCACTTCTGGCTTGAAATATATAAAACAAAATGTGGAGCCTCAACCATATATTATTCTTATATGACTTTAATTTCAAACACGGGAAGAATATGGGATTCCACGTATGCTGGCCATTTCTGCCTGAGAAGGGCAACAGTTACTGATTATGGATGGCAAATAGATTTGGTTTCATCTCTAACTCAAACACTGTGGAGTCAAAAAGCTTGGCTGGAACTCAAAGAGCATTTGGTTTATGTTCTGCTTTGGAAATATTATTAAGAAATGAGAGAGGAGGAATAGAAAACATTTACTGGGAAAAAAACGAAGGCAGGAGAGAGGTCAGAGTACCAGGCATATGGCAATCAGTTGTCCCAGTCCAGTTTTTGGCAGAATTCCTCCCCTCAGATGTTTTCTGGGGGACAAAAAAGAAAAGTATCTTCCCTCCTTCCCCCCAAAAAACCCCTCTCAATGTAGCACCTTTGAATTTTTAACATGTATGCTACAGAGGAAAACCAGGCTTCCAGTCTGATGAGATTGGTAAAATCTCTGAACTAGCTCAAGGAGGTCAGGGCCGCCTGGAATTTTAAGTTTGTCTGCTTCTATTTTCCAAATATTGAGAAAAATTATTTTGAGGCTTTTTGTAGTTACTACGGTTAATTAGCCTTCCCTGATAATCATCACTGTAATCGGCATCAGTTAATTAGCCTCATGTGTAGTAATTTATTGCGTTAATTATTCCTGGTTCTCATTTTTCACATTTAGAGTACAGGGTATAGCACATGTTTTTTAAATTACTCTTTATCATCATCATACTAAACAAACCATTATAGGTCTTTGAGTCAGTCGGAATAAGACAGAAATGAGGGAGGTTTTTTCCAAAGTTGGAGGTTCTGCTATAGCAAATACAACGTTACTAATTTTACGTTCCTCTGAGTTCATGTGGAAGCCAAAGTGACTTGGCTGAACTTGTCTTAAATTCTCATTTTAGCATTTCTTACCATTCCAGCCCTCCGGGCAATAACTGTGTGAAATTGTCCATCAGACACCTTCTTAGTTGTGGTAAGCTTGTATGTGCCACTGCCAAGGTTGTAGGAGAATCTCAGCCTCTCTTCTGCGATTTCCAGGGCCAGAAATTCTGCCCGCTCTCCGGTTTGGTTATCATAGTTATACAACATTAAGGCATTACTTTTTATAGTGGCAAACTTTATATAGATGTAATTATTGTTTGGATCCATACTGGGAAACTCCATATAAGACAACTCTTCAAATCCGTAACTGTTCAGTTCACAGTGATTCCCAAAAACACCTGCAAAATGAAAAGTAAAATCTGGTATCAGATATTTTTTTTTTCCCCTCACCCTGAATTCTCCCAGAAACAAAGTATTGATATTCTCTAGACACGGCTCTGATAACGCAGGCTCTTTAAGAAACCTCTAATGTACGATATAGAAAACTATGCAACCTGAACATCAGAATCCTATTACCCACAGGTGGGTGCTGAAGCACATATATTTAAACTTAAAAATGGATCTGAATATTTTGGTGCATTCTATGTATTTCTTTTCAGATCTGTCACATAATTGTCCTTGATTTTTTTTATTGCAGCGACAATGAGGAAAAAACTTACTTAATTTATGAATATTAGTTACATTTACAATGGACTACGACTGCATAGGAAATTAATAAACTCTGAGGAAACGTAAAACAAAGGAAATAAAACAGAATAAAGAAGTTAATCCACCTGTTAGTAGAAAAGTGCATTCAGAGGTAGTTACAAGTCTGTATTGAGAATCATAATTTTCTGTGAGGGTTTTCAGCAGCCTTAAAACATTGTAGATGTTTTCTCAGGTTTATCTGGTTTTTGATTAATCTTTTGCATTTACTTTCGTGCTTTTCTGTATGAGCAATGACAATTCTGGATTAATCTGCATTCAGAACCAATCTTGCTGCAATTATATCGTGATACCTTAAAATGTCTGCGTTTTGTGTCTTGGTTGGGTTCATTCCACAAACCAAATTTGGGATAATTAAATTCTAATCATTATTAAACTATTTTGGCAGTACTATGCCTCTCTGATTCTCAGAATAGTACTCTGGTTTTGGAACTCAGAACTTTCTTAACGTAGAATAAATTGAATGGGCAAGTACTGGTGTGGGCTAACAAAGCTGCTTTGATTCAGTCAGGTTCTCTTTACCAAATCTACTAAATAGAAAAGTGCCAATATCTAATGCTGTGCTCCTCACTTGCAGAACAATGTGGGTGCTCTCCAATTCTTGCCTTACAGATATTTTGACAAATTATGCAAATTTTTTAAAAGAAAACCAAGCCCCCTCCGCTCAGTATCACCCCAAAGTCCCTTTTTCTAGTTTAACATTATGACGACCTCCTTGCACTTTGCAAGCGCGTAGGATGCAAGAATACTGATGTAATTTACAGTGGTCTTGCTCTTTGGCTCTCCTACAAGTGTCTGTTATTGGGCAGGAGAGCAAGCACTGCTCGGAGTCCTCACTGTGTCCCCCCAGCAGCCACAGTGACCCCCCCACGCTGCCACATGCTTCCATCTCCCACCGTGCTGGCCGAAATATCGGCTTCTCCTTCTTGCAGCCAGGGAAAAACAGAGAGGACGATGCCAGGAGATGACCAACACCATGGACTGGGATCCATATACATACCCATTGGTTTCATATAGTTAAAAATAAATTAATAGGGAAAGGGAAGATCAAGCAGAGAGGAGAAGGTTACTCACCGAAGGGGCAGTGACAGTAATACCCCTCCACCCCGCTTTGGCAAGATCCACCATTGAAACAGGGGTTGCACTCGCAGTAATTGACAGTGGAGTCGCACGTTTTCCCTGCAATTAGGGGAAAAAAAAAAAAAGGCAATTTCCAGGTCAGAGTATTCAGGTCCGTAGGAAAGTTGGGCGGGTATTTAGGTAACGTGCTTATGAACCAATGGGGAAGGCACGGCCGGGGGGGAGTGTGCCAGGGACCATTTGCGGCTGTGGGATGGAGAGGAAACACAGACCCGATGCTGGGCTGCTCCCAGCCCTGACACGCACATACTACACAGCCTGGAGACATTAACTTCACTTTGTAATAATCTTATATAGGTATTGGTGGGATGGTTGGTTGGTTCGGTATTTTTTGTTTTGGGTTGGTTTTTTTTTTTTTAATTAACTGGTGTCTGTAAAAGAGAGATCATTAAATGAAAGAAGATGCTGAACTAAAAAAAAAACCCCAAATGTGTTTTTTCCCCGTGTACTCATTAGTGTGAAGGAGATACAGGCAGCCCTTGCTGGACCCTGTATGAACACGGCATGCCGAACACAGGCTGCTATTGTACATTATATGATTTTTTCTTATTTTTCCTCATCAATTACAACCTCCTTCCTGACTCGGAGGGGACCACAGTCCTCTGGAGCTAAAACAAGTTACCCTGACTATAGTCCTTTTCTAAGCAGAGATCGTCACATGTGGTAAATATTATTCACCAGAGAATAAACTGAAATCACATAACTCATTTCAACAAGGAAAGGAACCAAGAGAGAAAGTCAAGATTTTAACAGATGCCAAATACTGACAAGGGGATTCTTTGTACAAAACTAAAATTTTCTTTGTATGGAAACATTTACTACAAAAGTATTGGTCTTCACTTCTAAGTTTTCAATTGCTTAGCTTTTATCAGTTTAGCAACACATCCACTATATACCGCTCTCGATACCTGCCCGCCTTCTGCCAGCAGTGCCAGCCTTCCCAGCCTGCCCAGCGAAACGCTGGAAGAGCCGTCATGTTTGACCCTCATCTTCCTCTGCAAAAACTGGCAAAACCAGCCACG